GATTGTACGATGATGTTTTAAGAGTTAAATTCCTTCGCAGAAATCTATGGATAATGTTTTTCACATTCGAAACAAATGAAGGATAACTTCAAAAACTTGAAAAGAAGGGAAATGAACCAACAGTCCCACAGAATTGGCGGATTTAGCTCACACATTGGTGACTTTCCCCCTAAATCTCAACCTCATATACATCTTCAAAAACACAAAATTTCTTACCTCCATCGAAATTATCCATTCAGGGCAATTGGATCCATATATACCGCAGCAATCTCCCTAGAAAACAAAAAAAAGAAACCAGTCACAATAGGGCAAAACATAGTTCCACTTGATGCAGTCAAAAATTAAGGCAATATTAGAACTTCGAAGAACACACATTTCATTGAACATCCCTTGGACTTACAGGATTAACGCCACACTTTCTAATAGCAGAACCCATCCGGATTGCAGCATCGTACGCTTCTTGATATGTGAGCCATACATAGGAACCCGCCTGCAAAACTCATGGAATCAGTTCCAATAACTCAATTTAATCTTTTAGGTCTCGTTTCAAGTTCAGAGTTCGCCGGAAATTGTTACCTTGGAATCGCCGTTGGTTCGCCGACGACCAAGCATCCGGTTTCCAGGATTCCTCTTGACGGAATCGCTGCAAGAAACGAGATCATATTGGTTGCCGCACTTTCACCGATCATTTTTTAACTTTAAATATCGTAAATCAAATGCAGATAGCTAAAAAAAATCTTTAATAAATAGTCAAAATTAATTCATTAATAAAAATTTAGGATTCAATAATTAAAATTATTAATTTAAAATTTTAATTAATACGAACTCAAAATTTAGATTATAAATTGAAGTTTTTCCTAATTTTAAGGAAACATTTAATTTTTAAATGGTTGAATTATATTTAAATGTAATTTTTAAAGTATAAAATAAAAAATACAAGTAAATTTTAATTATGTCATTAAACTTTCAAAATTATTTTTATTAATTTTATAATTTGTTTTAATATATATATATATATATATATATATATATAATGTGTATTTTTAATAAATAAATTATGAAAGTTCTCAATGGCTTAGCTCGGGAAAAAAAAAATCAGGTTTTAATTAACGTAAAAAATCGAAGGAAAATCATTTAAAGAATTTAAATCCAAAAAAAAAAAAAAAAAGGCAAACCTGAAGAACTGCCATGGAGATTCGAACCCAGCCAGCAACTGGAGAAGCCCATCTTTAGCGTAGATGCTCCGGTAAACCGGCCCCGCCGACGGCTTTCCGCCGCTCTCCGGCGTCGCATCCTCGACGGCCACCGTGTAGGCCGTCGGCATTGTCATGAAAACGGCCGGAATTTGAAAGGAAACGGCTGCGGAAGATTGGGTTGGTCTGTTTGTGGGTGTGGGTTGCTGAAAAAGTCCGGTGGAAGTGGCTTTATTACAGTTGATCTAAACCAGAGGTGGGCGGTTGGGAGGATGGTTGAGGTGGGTGTGATGAATGCCATTAAATTCTCAGCAAACTACACCAATTTGTTTCATTTTTTTTACCTATGTTCAATTTATTTTTACCTCTTAATTATACTTTATTAGCTAAGAGTTCCTAAATCGATGTTTTTTGATCGACATTTGGTGATGTCGACACGAGCGGAGTCGGAACGGCTATGCCTTCTTTGTCTGTGTATCCGCCTTCTATTTTAATTTGCATCCCAGTTAATTTTGTCCATATCAATGCTCACCGAATTTACTGTCCATCAGGCATTGAATGAAAGCTCCACAAGATCAAATTACTGTTAGCAAAAATCACGTCTAGTCTAGGAAAATTGAAAATGACTCAAAATGTATCTTAATGGATGTGACTAATAGTCAGCTGTTCGGGCGAGTTATATGCTTTCAAATATGTGGTAAAAGCAAATAACTTTTTTTTTTTTTTGCTTACAAATTATTTTATATGCATTTCCTTGCTCACATTTTCTAAAATACTTTTGTTATAAAACTCTTGAAATTTGTTTTAGAAACAGTTGTTAAAAAAATGAGAACGTTAGATCTAAATTATCCAATAACCCCAAAAAACGATAAGGAATCGGCCTTAGAAAAAGTTTTGGAATGAATTACCTTAACGATCGAGATCAAGAGTAAAGAAAGCTCGTTTCTACACCATGTGATTCGAATTACTCCACAAGATAGCTTGATCAAGACTACTTGAATGACTCTAACATGCAAATTTAAACAAACAAAAAGAAATAAGGAGCAAAAACAAATTGGGTTGGCGTATTTTACGACTTGTGATTCGAATCACTCCATAAGATAGCTTGATCAATACCACTTTTGACAAACGACATGACAGACTGAGATTTGGTCAGAGTCGAGATTCAAGGCAAAAACAAGGACAAAGAATACAATCCTCATTTTCGACACGATTCATTAAACAAGGAGAAATCTCTCTCCCTCTGATTCCTTCATTCCAAGTGTAAATGAGAATTTTCGACCCAACACGGTCGTTTAAACAAAAATCTCTACAGATATCCTATTCTCCCGAGAATTAATTAAAGTGTTTTAGGTTTATTAGAAATTAACATTCCTAACCTAAAAAGTCCATACTCATAATAAAGTAAGATAATTGATTCAAGCAAAGAGGGTAAGTGTGACATTAAATAAGGTAGATATAATGAAATCCCCAATAGGTTGCACATTAATTAAATGCATCCTTTTCAGGCGGCCTTTAAATGAAGGTTGGCAGACCAAAAATAAAAATAAATAAAAATTACAATTTATTATTTCATACAATTAATTCTCCCCTTTTTTTTTCTTCTTTCGAGGACCAATCACATGGGTTGACGTATATTTTTTTTTTAAATTCTAATTTTTATTGTTTATTATATAGTTCTATATAATTTTAAATTTGAAATTATTAAAAAAAAAATTTATATAATTATTCATTTATTTTGTTTAAAAAATATTACTTTTAAAAGTTTCAATAATATTATTAAATTAAAAAAAATAAAAATATAGTTTGAAATGAAAATAGTTAATATTTTATATTATTAAATTAAAAAAATAAAAATATAGTTTGAAATGAAAATAGTTAATATTTTATATTATTAAATTAAAAAAATAAAAATATAGTTTGAAATGAAAATAGTTAATATTTTATTTTAAAAAATTTGAATTATCAAACGTGTTTAAAATTCTATATTTTAAAAAAAATGAAATTCTATATTTTAAAATTAAAATTAAGCAATTTTTTTTAATTTGTTTTTATAATTTGGACTATTTTAAATTATACGACTCGAAAATAACTTTTTAAAATATCGTTGAATTTATTTGATGGGCTAAAATAAGAATAATAATAAATTTATTGGAATAATTTAAAAAGAAAATAAATAATAAACTGTTGTGTTGGAGGATAAAAGTTTTACTATTAGAGTTTATGTTGAAAGTGGACAATATCATACCATTGTAGAGAGTTGTGTTTGTCTAACAATCGAAATAAGGTATTTATTTATAAATTTTCAGTTTAACCTAAATAAATTTTTTTTAATGCATTTCAAACCAACCATATCATATTAACACGTTAAAATATGATTTAAAGTAAATATGATTTTTTTTATTTGAAAATTTATTTGTGTCGTGTATTTTCAATTGGTTCATACGTTTTATTACATTTTTACCCCTAACAGATTTTACACTCTTATCCTTTAAATTAAAATAATTAATTAGTTTTTTTTAATTAATTAATTGAAACTTAATCCCAAAAACCAAAAGCTCAGTCGACCCAATTCCTAAACTTAAACCAACATTAGTAAAAGATTAAAAGAATTAGAGAATCTAAAATTAGATTGAGAAGGGAAGGCACAGTAACAATAAATAGGTAACAATAATTCAACTACTGGTAATTAATAAATGAGGAATCATTAATTATTTCACCTTATAATTTTATATTTAGCAATAAATTTAAATGCTGGATCTTCTTCAATAATATCTAAGGGCCCACCACTAACCAATTTATCCTATTTATATAAATTTTTAAATTTGTGTGGAAAATATTTATTGAAATTTTTAATCTTTGAAAATTTATGTCTCAATTTTGTTTAAATTTAAAAATTTACTGAATATATAATTAAAATTTTATAATAAATTTCATAAACTAAAATTCTAAATTATACATAAATTCAGTCAAAAACACTATTAAAAATATACCACCAATCCAACCATTCATTTTTGTTTTTATTTTTTTAATTATTTAAAAAATAACGACGTTAATGATTAAATCTCATAAAACTCGAATAGGATTAGATTATAATCTTAATGAGTCGGGTTGAGACGACAAAAAAAAAAAAAAAAAA